ACTTGCAATGTTGGACCTTCCGACCCATTGAAGGGAGATGGTTGCTCAAGAAAATTTGTTCTTGCAAAGCTTATCTGGTTCCAGTCGTAACCTGTTGTTGCAAGTGGATTGGATAGAAGCCCATATTTTGATAGTTTCCCCCTTGAGGCTGCACCTGCACTGCAGAAATAATCCAGGTTGATGCCACTTTAACTGCCATGGCTCAATGCCATGGCATTTAGGGAATTGTAGTTTGTTGTAGTACCAGAGAAGGCTTAATGTCTCACAAAACTGCTATCCTAAGCATTCTATAGCATTGAGCCAAGGCAGTTAAAGTGGTGTCAAACTGGATTATTTTTGCAGTGCAGATGCAGATGCAGCCTGAACCTGTTCTCTGTTTCCAAGGGTGATGGGCATTCAGGTTTTTATCCCTGGGTTTCTTTGGATTAACTGAATCTTTCAGACCAGCCAAGATCTAATACAGAGCTCTGGATTGATCTGATGAATCCATTCTTCCTATATGTCTGGATTCTGCCTTAGCCTCCCTAATTTAAGTAATCTGGAGACTTGTCTATCTAATTAAGACTGATCGGAGACTTTCCATGTACGACATAAAGGGGGAAATATCCTGAAAAGTTATATATCTGCAATAAGTTTTTACGCAAGAGTATTGTAATCTGTCACAGTATCCATTGTGTGATCATGAAGGATGACCAGTTTGCTTTCTCTCTCGTTCAGTTCATTTCCCCACTCCATCCTCTGAAGAAATGTGGTGAAGGTAGCAGGTAAGAAATACACAACCAAACAAAATTGTTGCCCATCTGTGTAAACCAAATGCTCTAAGGCCAATTTATCCCTCCATTTCTCCATATCCTGATGATGAAGAAAGTTGCAAATTTTGGGAAAGCTCTTTTAAAAAGAAAAAGTAAAGCAAATGAAATTCCTTCGAGTTCCTGGTGACCACCCTGAAATAACAATATCAATGCCTTCCTCTTCTTCTTCCTTTTAGCAAAATAAAGGGTGTAACATTGTGTAGCGGGGAAAGCAACAGATTCCAAATTCAAAACGTCTACCAAAGAGAAAGAGACCATGTCCCAAGTTCATTTTTTTATAGGGCTGTGAAGTGAGGGAGAAGCTCAGATTGTTTGGATGTATTATCAGGAGTGTAGCTACTTGTTGTTGTTGTTGTTGTTGTTGTGTGCCTTCAAGTTGTTTCTGATTTATGGAGACCCTAAGGCGACGCTATCACTCCACCATCCAGAGAAGGAATGGCCAATGAACAGGGCAAAAAATGGGACGGAAATACACCACACAATAAGGACACACATTTTCCCTTATTAAATGTAAAGAGGAGGAGGGAATGTGGGGGCCATGTGGCTTCCATGTCAATAAAATGGTGAATCCAATCCAGGATTTTATTAGCTTCAAAAGAACTTTCCAGGGTACTGAACACCTATAGCAATAGGGTTTAGCACCATGGAGAGCAACTTCAAATCCTGGTGGAAATCGCACCTGGCATGGATTCATCTCCCCTCTGACATGGAAGCCACCAGCTTCCATTTTGTGAGGCTACCAATTTGGTTACTAGCCATGCCATTACTGTAATAATCCGTATTTCCAGCCTGGGATTGCTGTTTCTGCTGGTCCTTGGCTGGCTAGTTGTCTCTCTGTGCCTCGCTGTTCCTGCCACCTTTGTCACTTGTTTACTCAGGCGTCTGTATGTGAGACTGTTCCTTTCGTCCTGTGTTTTCGGGTGCAATATATCCCCACCTTCCTTGCCATTAAGGTGTTACCTTTTGATTAAACTCTTCAATCCTCGTAGCCTTCTGGTTCTTTGCCGCCTAGCCTATCCGTGGCTTTCCACTTATTTTTTAAAATGACTTTCAGTATGATGCCGTATCCAAAATGCCAGAGCAATTCTAGGCTGGATCAAGAGGAGTAAAGAATCTAAAGCAAGGGAAACAATAGTACTATTTTGCTGTGATGAGACCTCAACTGAAATACTGTGTCCAGTTCAAGAAGGCAATTGATAAACTGGAATGTGTCCAGCAGACGGCAACTAAGATATTCAAATGTCTGGAAATTAAGCCCCCTGAGGAATGTCTAAAGGAGCTGAAGAAGAGAAAATTAAAAGATTGAACGATATATGTCTTTGAATATCTGAAAAACTGCCATATATAAGATGGAGTAAGCTTGTTTTCTGCTTACTGGTCTAGAGAAAGAAAAGAGAAAGAAAGAGGGGAAAAAGGTTCTGGCTAAATATGTGGAAGGACTTCACCTATTCAGTAGTGGGATAGGTTGCCTCAGAACATAGTGGACTTGCCTTCTTTGGAGGTTTTTAGGAAAGTCAGCCACAACATGGATTTTTCCTTCAGTCCCCAAATTCCTGGCATTGCAGTTGAGCCTTTAGAAAGTAGACTCCCGGCATCCAAAGAAAAAGGGCAGACTAAGAAACGCAGGCATGGGAGCATGGCAAATAGAAGAGTTTGAGATGTGGAAGATTTTGCAAGTCTCACTCTCTGCAATGCTAGAAATTTGGGGACTGGAGGAAAATTCATGGGGGAGGAATTCTTATTTGGAGGGCCCTGTCCTTTGTAGCTATATAATGTCCACTTTTGGCTCTAGGAAGTCCCAACATGGGCTTCGGTCTCCCCTGTCATCTGTGTGCTGTCCTCAGATAGTTACTCCAAACAAGTTTATATCCCATGTTTCTTGACAACAAGGGCTTGCAGCGAATGACCAACAGGTTCTAAAAAGTCTGTTGTGCATTGCTGTTGTGCATTATGCATTATGTGTTGTGCATTGTGCAGTGGCATCCAGGCATTGACCTGTGTTGCACAGTGTTGCTATTCTACTCCCAAGGTTGTGTATTGCTGGCTTTAGAATGCACCTGATCTGCAAAAGTAATGCTGTTTGGCACCACTTTAATGGCCATGGCTCCATCCTACCGAATCTTGGGATTGGTAGTTTTATGAGGCACCAGCACTCTTTAGCAGAGAAAGGGAAGACTTTGTGAAACTACCAATCCCAGGATTCCATAGAATGGAACTGCAGCACTCAAAATGGTGTCAAATGGCTCTATTTCTACAATGTAGCTGCATCCACAGTGTATCTCAATGGATTGCAACCATAGCTGAGTGGGGATTAGAAACCATCCCTGACTGATACTCTAACCACTACACTATGTTGGATTCTCATCTATCTAGGCTGACTTTTCAAGCCCCTGATGCCGATCCTTAAAAAGATGTAACACATGGCTCTTGCAAGGTCTATTTTCCTCCCTCCCTCTCCTTTTTGCATCCTCTCCAGGGAAAAGTTGGGGTCATCCCTGTGTCAGGAGGCAGCAATCTTCAATTCAGCAACTTTATTGTGCTAACAAAGGCCATGACAAATACCTTGAAAGGATACCAAAGTATGCAGAAAACGATGTTATAGACAGACGACCATAGAAGTGCATTTGGAATAAGCATCAACAAACCCAAGTTATTACTCTGAATCTCCTGGAAGATTTATGGCTGTTTCACCTACTTTTCAATTTTTAATCTTTGCGGCAGCCAAAGCTCAAAGGAGGCACTTCAGAGAAGTGATATGATTTGAGAACAGGGGTTGTCTACATGGATACGGTAGTTTCTACACTGGTTTTGGAAATCTTTGGATGTTTGGAAATGGATCTGTATGGCTGGGACAACCCCCAGATTGCAAAATGCATATGGAAGGGAATGCACCAGACTGTGGATAATGTTTAGGGAGGTGCTATAAAGAAATACATATATATATAAAATTACAAAATTATAAAACTATACATTCTTCTCCCTCCTGTGTGACTTTGATCGCACCAGGCCATGAATTCCTATTTTTACAGATCTCAATTAAGCACTACTGGAGGAGGCTTGGGGGATGTGAGAGCAGCTGTCAGTCTCACCTCTATGTCTCTCTCTCTCTCTCTCTCTCTC